CTGGATCCTCTCTTTTGGGTCACAGCAAATGGTAGTGAAAGCTGCTGTTCTTTCCCTACCACTCGTCTTTGCAGCAGGATAGATGTGCCATGTTTACTCTACTGCCAGGGACAGCAAAGCACCAGCCTTGGGTCTGACATTCTGTTCTGTTGGTTAACCTGCATACAGAAGCCCTCTTTTCCCTTGCTTCAGTATTCACTAAAAGTGATAACAGGGGGAAGGCAGAGAGGAAGTTCACTGCGTGCTAAAGCGTAGTAAGAGGAATCATCTGTATGTCTATACAAATTGACCTACCCCACATTTTTGTGGCTCATCTGTAATCTTTAAAACTGGATCTGCTGGAACTTTTCTTATGTGAACTCTTAACCTTAGCACAATATCTGGCAAGTAGAAAGCACTTTAAAATTAAAATACATTGAATGAAATAGGAATAAATTACGTTAAATTGAAATGAATGGAATTTTACTGAATAAATGAGATGCTAATTCCACACATTTTAAGCATTCTGGGTATACTACCCCTCCCCACTTCCTCCAGCATATGGTTCTAGAAAGCTTTGTGAACATCAAATAATAAATTAGATCAGAGGCTGAATTTCCGAAATGAATAATGAATAATAAATATTTGCTTATACAGTATTAGCATCTCACATAGGAATATGTTGAGGTCAGGAAAATCTTGTGATAAATTCAGATCCCCTTAAGCTTTCTGGACTTGATTTCTTATTATTGTAAGCTTTTTTTTTTTTTTTCTTTTTCTTTTTCTTTTTTTGACTATTAGTGTCACTTTTTGCCTCCAAGGCAAAAAGCAACTTCTGATCCTTTAAGAATATGTAATTATTCATTTTAAAATAATTTTGATAGACATATTTATTACATTCCCTTGCATTATAATAGTGAGCAGAAAATAAATAGAAAGTCTTTTGAATTGGCGTTTTAGTCAGTCTAAAATAGGCTGTGTTGGTGTGGTCTTTGTAAAGAGCTGAGGAAAACCCGGGCATCACACCCAGATTGCTGTCCTCCAGTGATGGGTGGCGAGAGATAGCCCAGGGGGAGCAGAGCTGCAGTCTTGGGCTGTTTGGGGGTGGTTCTGCTCTTTCTGCACAAAGCTGTATTTTCAAATACCTGTTATTTCAACAGCATTTCAAGGCAGAGTTTTAGACTGGGCTTTTCATACCAAATTAAAGACAGTGACTAATTTGGGCTTTCCCAAATTACTTGTTCAGTTCTCTATAAAGAACTCCAAATAATGAGAAATTTTTTTTCTTTTTCTTTTTTTTTTTTTTTTTTTTTTTTTTGGTCTTTTTGAAACAGTGTCTTCCTGTAGCCCCAGCTCGACTGGAACTCACTACGTAGACCAGGCTGGCCTCAAACTCACAGAGATCCACCTGCTCTGCCTCCCAAGTGCTGGGATTTAAAGGTATGCACCACTATGCCCAATGAGAAAAATTGTTTTAAAGAGCAGGATATTGTTCACATATGCTGTGAATTGTGGCTGTCCCAATACGGTAGTTGAAGTGATTGCCTACTGTCTTCACTTAGACTACCAAGTTTATGTTTCTGCCCCTTCACAAAACAATCTTGTGTGTTAGCACAGGTTTTAACACATGACAAATGAGGAGACAGTCTAGTGTTGCAGTGTTACCTCCACCTTGTTCACCTCAGAGACACATTCACATAGTTACCAGAGGTGCAAATGCTGCTTGATGTGACTGGGAAGGCTTCATTTCTTAACTCAGAGCTCTCAGTGGCTCAGCTGGGCTGCTCCTGGCAGTGTGGTGGCATCAGTTGGTGAGGTCTCACATCATGGCTGGTAAGATGAATGGCAACATTCAAGATATGGTACAGAGAACAGAATTTGAAGTCAGACTATTGAGGTCGGGGCTAACCTGCATCCTTTACTAGCTGCGAGATATCTGGGCCATTCACCCTACTTTAGCTTTCCATTATTGTAATACATACCTGAGAGAATCATTTAAAAAGAGGAAGGTGGGGCTGGAGAGATGGCTCAGCAGTTAAGAGCACTGGCCGCTCTTCCAGAGGCCCAGTTCAGTTCCCAAATGGCAGCTAACAACCATCCTTAACTCCAGTTCCAGGGAATCCCACACCCTCTTCTAGCCTCTACCGGCATTGCACACACTGCACTGCATACATGAGGTGTACTTATATACATGTAGGCAAAGCACTCTTATACATAAAAATATAAAGAAGGAAAGAAAAACTTTTTTAAAAAGGAAAGATTTATTTTGGTTATAGTTTTGGAAGTTGTGGTCCATGTTTTATGTACAGATCCTGCTGCTTTGGGGTCTTTAGGAAGGCAGCACTCAGCAGGAGTATGTGCCAGAGCAAAGTTGCTTACTTCATGGTGGCCAGGAAATAGAAAAAGGAGGAGGCTGGAGTCCCATAGTCACTGTGATGGCATGCCTCAATGACCCGCCACCTCCCACTAGGCCCAACTTCTTTAAACGGTCCACTACCTCTCAGTAGCACCAAGCTGGGGACCAAGCCTTTCATACCTGGACCTCTAGAGAACATCCTAGACCCAAGTGATAGTAGTTACCCATTCAGTAACCTTCACTTTTTTTTAAATCTATGAAATGAGCATCATAAAAAGTATCCAAAAATTAAGTGGTATATTACAAATGAGACAAAACTGAAGTGCAGCTTACATCAGTTACTGGCTGTCAGAGCATTCTGCCTACCCCAGTCTAGTGTTTCTCCCTCTGACACATTGTATTCTTTCATCTTCTTTGTTAACTTGGCTGGATTTAGGATAACCTAAGAGATACATCTCTGGATACTTGAGAGGGGTTTTCCAGAGAGGTGTGACCACAAAGGGAAGACACACCCTGAATGTCGTTGGTATCAGGTAATACACTGGGGTCCCAGGCTGAATAGAAAGAAAAAAATGAGAAAGGGAACTACTGAGCACCAGCACCCTTCTCTTTTCTTTTTTTAAAAATTTTATTTATTTTATGTATATGAGTATATTGCCTGCAAATGCACCCGTGTCATGCAATGCCTGCAGAAGTCAGAAGAGGGTGTCAGATCCCCTGAAACTGGAGTTATGGATGGTTGTTAGTCACCATGTGGGTACTGGGAACTGAACCTGGGTCCTCTGCAAGAGCAGTCAGTGCTCTTAAGCACTGAACCATTATGGGGCCCGCGGTCCCGCGGGGATCGGTCCCCTGCGCGTGCCCTGGAAGGCAGCGAGTTCTGCAGGGATTCTCAGTTGCGCATTGCTGTCCGCCGCTTGAGGTGCTGAAGGTCTCGCAGCACCGCGGCTCTGCGTCTCTGTTGTGGCAGCGGGTCTCAGCTTCTCCGCTGCTTCCCTGCATCTTCCGTGGCTCTCTGCTGCTGGGGGCTTTCCCCAGCCATGTCCGGCCCTAATTTCACCTTTGCACTTTCCTCAAGGTGCGAGTTCCACCGGCCGCTGGACCACGCGGGAAAGTACAGGGCGGCTGAAGCTGGGTGTCCGTGAGTCGATGACGGAGGAATGCTGCCCCCCAGGGAGACAGTTCCTGCTCTAGCTCCAGCTCCGCTTCTAGCTCCAAATTATTGAGAGAAGACTGGGATATTTTTATACTGTAGGGGCAGTGGTAAAAGCTTTAGCTGATAGGTATTTTGGGGATGCCTCATTTGCGTGTGGAAATGGGCTCCCACCAGGCTGCCAAAATGCTTGAAAATCACACAGGAAAGCATGGCATTTCCAGAGACAGGGGCCATGTTTATGTGGCTGCTACTTCACAAAGGAGTCAGGAAAAATGCTGGGAAGACACCCTGTTGTGAAAGGAGTCTCTGCATATGGCTCTGAGCTCGTGAGCTATCCGGACATGAAGAAACTTCTACTTTACACAACAAAGATTCCCAACAAACCATCTCTCCAGCCCCCCTTTTGCCTTTGTACCTGAAGATACAATGTAGCCAGCTCCCTCACACTTCTGTCATCATGCCTTTCCACCATGGTGGACTGTATCTACTTTTTTTTTTTTTTTTTTATGTCTTTGTGACAGGGTCTCCCTGTAGCCTCAGCTGTCCTGGAACTCACTATGTAGACCAGGCTGGCCTTGAACTCACAAAGATCTGCCTGCCTCTGCCTCCCAAGTGCTGGGATTAAAGGCGTGTACCACCACACCCGGCTAACTACTTTTAAACTGTGAATGCAAATTGTTTTTGTCAGGAGTGAGAGACATAGCTACTAGCTACCACCTCACATTAATACTTTTAACCCCGCTTTCTGTAGCTGTCCACATCCTGTCCATGCTGCTCCTATTGTAGGCCTTCTGAAAATATGTTTATTGCATGAGTATAAACATATCACTCACAGTACTTTTTAAATTCTACATGTTGACAGGAGATGTTTAGTAACTTTTTTCTTTGAAAGGGTATGGTTTATATTTTATTTGAAAGGATTTTTTAAATTCTGTGTTCATAGGATCACAATTTTTTGTTGTTTTATTGTTTATATTTTGTTAAACAGTTTTTAAAATGAGCTTTATTACCAAGAAACTAGGCAGTTTACCATACTAAGGCAGCTGCCATGGGCCACATGCAGAGGGCAGGAAGTGGGTTTGGTGAACAGGCAGCAGGGATCAGTATGTGAGTGGGCCAGGCTGTTCCTACTGTAAGTAGGGCTCACTTTCTGGGCTGAGCATAGGCCAGGAGCTGAGCTTGCCTGCTTCTTCCGCACAACATTGGTGCTTTTTACTTCTTGAAACTCCTCCCTTTTTCTTTGCTGACTCTAATGATCAGAGGCTTTTAAAGGATTTACTTTAGGGAAAGGCCCTAACCACAGCATTAAGCCAAGTGGACTCAGCATCCAGAGTTCTGACCTCCACTTAATGCTTTTCAGATCCCAAAAAGTCAAATGCACTTGCACATCAGTTGTTCCTTCCAGCTTGCTGGAAAGTTCTTTGGCTTTATGCTTATCACTGCAAGACAGTATTCTGGTTGCTATCGCCAATCATGTGAACAACTTGTTTCTTCTCTGTATGGTGACAGGCACATCTCATCGTCATGAGTAAAAACCCCTCCCCAGAGGAGGTTGCAGACTCTGCACTCTTTGTTGCCCAGGCTGCCATTGCTTCTGAGATTCCTGACCACCATGGTAAGAATGAGACACCCTCCCCCCTCACCACATACTAGCACCATTGTGGGGGTGTGACCAGTGTGTGGGGTTGTGACATAGGCCTTCTGCTCTTGAGCAGCTTCCCTGGGCTTTCCCTGCAACCTCTCTTAAAACTTTCCCTCTTCAAAACAAACAGCCTTCCATCTAAGTAACAACTAAGAGCCCCAGGGAACTCACACTGGGCTAACAGGGAAATCTCTGCTTTCTAAGACAGCTATTTTAAAGGTTGTTTGGGAGCTATTGAAGTAACAACTCTGAACTCCAGGCTCTTTCAGGCCAGAGCTTTCAACATGGGTAAACTTACACAGTTTCAGGATTGCAAAAGGAAGCTACCATTCGCTGTTATATATTTTCTTATCCTGTCATGATAGGTGGAACCTGGGGCATTGGAGAGTCTCTGTTCTGCCATCCTGGGTATCCTGTCTGTCTCTGTTGACAGGAAGCACATAGTCTTCTGATTTTGTTGTGGTGATCAAAATATTCAGAAATGGAGTGTATCTCATAAAGAAGACCTAGAGATATATTTCAAGATATCAGGTTGAGATCACCATGAATGAGTCCAGTGTACCAGAATTCATTGTTGTGAAAGCATGAGGTTGGTTTGGGAAGCAGGTGTCAGGCCAATAGACCAAGCTTAGGAGATGAAGGGGAAGCCCTAAGGGGCAGACTGGTCTAAAAAGATCCATAGGCCAGGTAGGGAACTATGACATGGAGGAACAGATAAAGGAGTTCCCATGTTCAGCTGCTTGTCCATCTACTTTGCAGATCCCTCCTTCCCACTTCCTAGGGCTTGGGGTACCTTTCAGACCTAGAGGAACCTGACTAGAGATGGAGAGAGGAGGCAGATGACTTGTTGGGTTCTCCCTCCTTGGAACATTCTACACATACTAGTCAGACTTGTCTTCAAAATCAGCAAAGAACCAACATTTTGACCAGCTCTCTTGGTGCCTGAAATTTTTAATGGGGAAAAGAAACTTCCATTCTACCACTCTTTAAAAAAATATTTTATATTGTTTTTATTTTGTGTATGAGTGTATTGCTTGCATGTGTGTAAGTGCAGCCATGTCATGCAATGCCCATGGAGGTCAGAAGAGGGGATCGAATTTCCCTGGAACTGGAGTTACAGATGGTTGTCAGCCATCATGTGGGTGCTGGAAATCGAACTTGGGGTCCTCTGTAAGAGCTGCCAGTGAGCTTAACCACTGAGCCATCCCTCTAGCCTCCCCTGCCCCTTTTCAATATTTTTATGTGTATGTCTATATGTGGGTATGTTCACATGAGTATAGTGCTTACAGAAGTCAAAAGATGGTGTTAGATCCCCTGGAGCTGATTTATAGATAGTTGAGAGCTGCCTGATGTGGGTGGGTACTGAGATCAGGTCTTCTGGAAGAGCAGCAAGTGCTCTTAACCACTGAGCCATCTCTCCAGCCTCCCTGTTGCCACTCTGTCACTCTTAAAACATTTCAAATACAGATGTTTGACTGCAACCCTGAGAATAGCAGAAGTCACAAATCCAAGTGTCTTTAGGAATCCAGATGGCTACAGCCCTCCAAATGTCTAGGCAGTACGAATGTGCAGGTGGTTATAAGAGGCTCTGAGTGGCAGCTAACAGTTGACTGTAGGTTGAGAGGGACACTACAGAGCAGTGAGGACCTTGGCAAACCTAAGAAGCCTGTACCCAGCCACTGGGCTCTGGTCACCTGGCTCCTTATGGCAGGCAGGCTTATATTGGCATGTCTGCTTTTTTGAAAGAGTATGAGCATATTGCTTCCAACCAGGGTGACTTACATGGCTTTGGGATTCTGAAGGATGTTGTATTCAGGACTCATGATTTTTCTCATCCTTATGTGATAGTTAGAACAGCAAGCTTTTTTTTTTCCTGTTTTTAAAATCATTCTTTCAGTCTTCATTATGCTGAAATACATATAACATAAATTTATTAATCATAACCACTTTGCATTTCTGGTTCCATACTATTTAAACCTTTTTTTTTCTGTTGTTGTTGTGTTGCTGGTTTTGAGACAAGGTCTCACTGGATAGCTCAGGCAGGCCCTAAACTCAGGACAGCCTCTGAGCCTCCTGCCTCTGCCTCTTACCCAGTTCCAGATCCCTAACTTCTAGCCTAGAGTGAGGATGTTTGCCAGATATGCTCCTTTTTTTTTTTTTTTTTTTTTTTGGTAGTTCCTGGGTTAAGACAACTGTAAGGTTCTAAGGATTTAAAATGGCAGGATGAGGGAAAAAAGAGTCCAAAGGCCCAAACCCTCTCTTTCTACCTAGAGGTTGTTCTGGTTCTTGGCTCCTTATCTAGTGCTCAGTACGCTCACTTGTTGGGTATATGAATTGACTGGAAGCCAACAGAAAGTGTGCTTGAAGATGATTTTGTTCCATAGCTATAAAGTTATACCAGTTGCTCTGTACAGCATAGACTCAATGACAATCCAAGTTGAATTAGATATGTGCAGATAATAATGTATGTGAGAATTAAGTGACTCATAACTCCATAGCACATACTGGCCTTGCTTTTAAGTCAGAAAGCATCACAGTTCTGTGAGATAGGTGTAATTATCTCCAATTTGGGGATGGAGAAACTGAGGCAATGAGAAATGTCATTTTTCCAAGCCAGTGAGTGGCCAAGGCCTGAGCCCAGGCAGTCATCCCCAGAGACTTTTTATCATTATGTTATATTATAGGGACTGGCCCTCCACCTATCACCTTCTCTTCCCTATCCCTGCCCAAGAATCTATGGAGCTTGGGACAGACAAGGGATCCAGGAAGAGTGAAGGCAGCCTAAAAGCAAGGATGGGAGGACCACTAAGAAGAGCCAGGACCCAGAAGCCTGCTTGGAGCACTGGTTGAGTGGCACCCAGAAAGCCACTACCAATCAGAACTGAAATGTGTAAGGAGTGCAATGGTATCTTCTGAGAGTGGGGATTTGGTGGCTTTTAATGGGAGGGCTGGCTTCAGGAGCACAAGCAGCAGATGTCTTGGGGAATAATGAAATGGCAACTCTGACAATTCCAATAGTTGAGTGTCCTTTGTATGCAGGTGCTGGCACTTTCATAAACTGCTCTGTTAACCCCTTTAACAACCTTAGAAGCAGGGCATGACCTCCTACTTTACAAAGGCACTCCCACAGCCAGCTTTTCCTATCAGAATGTTCCGTCAGTCTAGAGAAGCTTCTCTCTCTCTCTTTCCATTGCTCTCTACCAAAAGAAGGAAGTGCAGACAAGCCCACAGGCTGCTCCTGCACAGAACCCTCTTAGACTCAGCACCTACCAGTCCTAGGATGTCAAAAATGCTGATGACTTCAGTGCCTTTCTGCAGAAAGTTCAGCCACTGCAGCCTGAAGGGGAGGACATGCTAAGTGAGGATGCATCAGAGAAGCTGTGGGGCAGAAGGACATGCTGGTTGTCCACAGCAATGTGAACCCCGAGACAGCTGTGCAAAGCAGACAAACCCTGGTCCCCAAGCTAATCCGAAGTGAATACATGTGAAGAGCAACCCCCAGCTATTCCAGATGTTTCAACCTTTGAGAGCTCTGCTGTCAGACTCCTTGCTCCCTCTGTGGTACATGAGTGGAAAATGAGCTGGCCCGGCCAGCATGGAGGAATCCAGGTTTTGTCCTGGCTTGTACCTACAAGTGCTTATGTGTGGTATGGGCAAAGGGGGAGCATCCAGAGTAGGACCCAAGGAGTCAGCTTCCATCCGGAAATAGGAACAGGACAGACACTGGCCAGCCAGGGACTACAGTGGGGGCCCAGACGAGTACATTCCCCTATTTTTCATGCTGTCATCTACTCAGCTATCCCCTCACATGGCAGAAGCCACCATGGCAGAGGCATAAGAAAACTATCCAGGGCTGAGGTTTATCCAGGCCTCTGCTGCCCCCAGCAGGGGGGGGAAATGAAAGGGGACTACATGGAACTTACCGGCAGAAGCCACCATGGCAGAGGCATAAGAAAACTATCCAGGGCTGAGGTTTGTCCAGGCCTCTGCTGCCCCCAGCAGGGGGGGGGGAAATGAAAGGGGACTACATGGAACTTACTGAACAGAGCTAGGGGAGGTCAAGTCCCCCATTGCTCTCATCCATACAGAAGATCACCTGGAAGCAACCTTGCACGTCCTCAGAGTGTTAAGGGGCAATCCGAGCTTTAATTTCTCATGTTTAAACCTGTCTGTACCCAGCATAGACTTTTGGCCTTGCTTTTGTTTTGGGAGTAAAAGAAAGGGAAAAAAAATCTTTAAAAATCATAATTTTTCACTTTCCATAACCTGTCTTCTCACTCTTTGCTGGATGTCCATTGAAGGCATTGCCAGGGCTAACAAACAATGCTGCTGGCCCAGAAGCAAGTGTTTCAGGCCCATGCTGGAGTTAGTGCGTTTGCACTGTGCCTTTCTGCATTCCTCCTGCAGATGAAACTACCCTAGAAGTCTGGGAAGATTGTGATTGCATGAAGATTCCCAATTCAGGCCCCTGGAATGTCAGTAACCTGGGTCTGGCCAGCTTCCCAGAGCAGTCATAGACAAACTTGGTATTAACAGCTTTCCCAACCCTGTTAAGTGTCCAGAGCCTTGGCCTTGTGTTTATAACTCTTCTCCTTAAGGGTATTAAAATGAAATGGTCTGGAACCAAGTACATTTCAGTGTAAACCTTTGTGCTGCAGGCAGCCTTGTTTGGAAGTGGCCCCATGTGTGTCCTGGGCACCAGTGGGCTAAGGAGTTTTGGGTTCCAGCACAGCAGAGGGAATGGTGTCTGTTCTGTTGGATCCCGGAGGTTAGGGGCAGGGATTCCTGAGTAACTGGATTCCCCACATGTAATTCCCTATTCCGAAATACATATATCTGCCCAGCTCCCACTAGTCCTAGCATCTCCTCACATTTTACATGATAGACATGAAAAATGTTTCTGAAGCTAGGTACCGTATCTTGCCCATGTCTCTCCCTCTTAACCTTGCACAGTCCTCCCTTTTCTCTGCTCTTCCTCTGAGTCTAACTTGCTTAACTTGCACTGGGTACACCCCATCCCCATGCCATGTTTACCTATTATAATGGCCCTTGGGCCCTGAGTATCTTTGAGAGACTTGAAGTCAGGCAGCCTCAGGTGTTCATAGGTGTTGGAGCCTGTGGGCTCGTGATCAGGACCTGGAGGCAGCCATTATCCATAACCCTCACTTTCCTGTGGCCCTCCTTAGCTGCCCCGTCTGTGTCTTCCTCCACTCCTCCACCTGAGGCCTCTATGGTGGGGGCTCTGGTACAGTCCTGCTGGTGGGAAGTGAGGGAAGCAACCAATGGCCCCATACCCTATCTCCCTTCATCCTAGTTTGGCACCTTTCCGTCTCCTTGTCCTCCTCAGCCTTCCCACCCCTTGGAGCCCTGTGTGTTCTAGAGAACCTTCCTCAGCTCCTCTATTCAGGACCCATTGCTTATTACAGAATGCCTTGCAAGCCTTCACTTGCCTGCTGGTGAAAGACCTAAGCAGATGTCTGTCCACACCTGCTCTGGGCCCCATGGAGAGCAAGGGAGAAAGGGGTCAGGCCAAAAGAAGAAAAGAGAACCTTCTTACAATGTCTACCAACATCAGAAACTTCTGGAAGTCATCCTTACATCTAGAGAATTGGAGTCCAGGGTCATTTAGCAAGGGTCATTAGAAGCAACCCAAGGCCTAGACTAGAGTCCAGGTACTGCCTACTTACCACACTCCCCACCCAGAAAAGTGATCACAGCATGTATGCCACATCCCTAGCCCTGGAGGTGCAGGCAAACCAACCAGGAAAGACAGGCAGGTATGAGCTATAGGGTTGGCACTTGGAGGCCAATGAAAGAGAAGGGCAGACTGTTCCTCACTCCACTCCCGTGTTGCTGGCCTTTTTTCCTAGAGGACAATTTGGGGGCAGCGGAGAAACCCTCTCTCCTCTCCTCTGAGTCTAGAGTAAGGCCTGTAGCCTGTTCATACCTTCTCTGGGGAAGACAAAGTATGCAGCCTGTAATGGCCACTTGTGTGAGGCTCAGATCTTCCACTTAGGTGCCAACTTGTAAGATTTGTGTTCAGAATTACTCAGAAAGGCTATGCTATTTATTTTTTAATTTTTTATTTATTATTTTTATTTTATGTGTATGTGTATATTGCCTGCATGTAGGTAAGTTCACCCATGTTGTACAGTGCCCGCAGAGGACAAAAGAGACTGTTGGATCCCCTGGAACTGGAGTCACAAACAGTTGTTAGCTGCCATGTGGGTGCTGGGATTCGAACCTGGGCCTTCTGCAAGAACAGTCAGTGTTCTTAACCACCGAGCCATCTCTTCAGCCCTGGATATGCTATTTATACTCTGACTTGACTTCTAAAAGGATTTTTTTAAGGCAGCTCTTGAAAAACACACATACGCTTCCCTAAACTAAGTAACCCGAGATCTGAGGTTGCTAACAGCCTGACCACTACCTATGTCGCCACTCTGAGTGATGGAGGTGTGGGGAGGGGTGCCTGGACAGCTTTCTGGTGGTAAAGACCCCAATGTAGGCATATCCCATGGTGTTTGAGCTCCTTGCCAAGCCCTGTGAGGACACTTGGCACTTTAACACCCTGAAAGACTCTTTTGGCCTGCCAGCTTTCTTAGCCCCCTCTCCTGATGCATTCCTTCCCCCAATGACACCCACTGACTTCCTCAGATCTCACAGCATGTGAGCTACAACTCTGTCACCCCCTGTGCCAGCTTCATGAACCTACATTGGCATCCCTCCCCCAAAGGTAGAAAAAGTAAGGGGTGGTGATCCTCAGGCTTCCCTTGTAGCCCCTCCAGGTGACAGGTGGCTGAGGGCAGCAGCACCTACCAGTGTCTCAACAGCTTAAATCTGTTTACTGGATGGAGGTCCGGCTAGGATTTGAAACTTTCTATTTTTAAATTTCCTGGAGTCCTTAAAGCCTTTGCAGTTAGTATAAAGACTATTTTCTAAAACGGTGACAAAAGATAATTGTCACATTATACATGGAGGCCTCCTCATAATGAAAGCTCTGTCCACTCCTGCCTCAAGACAGCCTCAGGAAAATGAACCCCAGGTTAACTGGAATTGATTTAATTAAAAGTTTCCTGATGTCTGGTGGGCCGCACTGCAACCCTACATTCTCTTGCTCTTTGAACAAAGCTTATTTTCTTTTCTCCATGTATGGACATCTCCATACACTGTGTGGGAAGGACAAGGCTTCAAGTCCCCAGGTAGCCATCTGCAGAGATGGTGAAAGTTGCTGTCCACTGCACCACACTTCCTCCCCTGCTGGAGCTCCTAGACAACCCAGACATTTGATTGGGGTGGAAACGAAAGATTTACGGCCAAAAGCACCTCTGCCACCAAGGCTCATGTTTACCAGCTAAGTCATGCTCCTGTGTTTCAAAGAATGATCTCATCTTTTGCCTGGCCCACTGGCATCAGGTTGCAGAGGATTTTAGATGTGCTTTTTAAAGTTAGGGATAGCAACGTACACTGAAACTGCTGCCTTATTGTGAACCCCTACCCAGATTCAGAACTCAGTGATGTGGCTTCCTACTCCAGAGACTGGCTTCCTGTCTCTCTGGAAGTCCTCTGTCACTTCTCCCTGATGGACCTCCTGGGTGCCTATCCCCTAACGCCCTCCCCCCCACTTCCGCAAGCCCCAGAAAGCAAACTCTAATTAGAAAATGACTCCTCTGCTGTGGGCTAGCACTCACTTGCTCTCTTCTCAAAGACTGACCATATGGATCATGGTTCACAATTAATCTGGAGGGGTGAGAACAGTCAGTCAGGGACTTGCAATAAAGAAGCTTTTATGTATCTCAGATGAAGATTAAGTGACTTTGGATTTAAAGACGGAGAGTATCAATGTTGCCTGAGATCTCCCTCTGTTCCCATGTTCCAGTATATCCTGTGAAGCAGAGGCCCTGAACTGACCTTACAGATGTGGTCAGCTTGCATGTGCTGTGTGTTATTAGGGAAACCCTGTTCCCTGGCCTCATTTTTTTTGCTTTGACCAGAGACTGCCCAAGAACAGACATGGGACAAGGAGTGCTGGAATTACTGTCTTGCACCACCGTTGCCTGCCCATCTACAGGCTCCGTCTTATTCTTGTCAAAGAAGGGGTAGGCTACCTTCTTTTATTAGTTCTCAATTAGCCAGAAAATCAACATGTCAAGTGACCTCCATGCCTGAATATCCTCAAGTCACCTTAGACATGGAATGTTCCTCTCTCTCATGCTTTCAGAATCCACGAAAGCAATGCCACATCATCCCCAACACAAAGTAGTCAGAATTAATACTTACTTAGCTTGAGTTTGAAATCCGTAATGTTTTCTCCCATGGGTCAGCTATGAGTAAAAGGGATATAACATTTTCCGTGTTGGAGAATTTTCTTCTAGAAGCCTGCCTTGAGTGATACTGTAGGAATGCACCTGCTGGTCTGGAGAAAGGTAGGAGAATCTAATTTAGTTAACTCCAGTCTTGCTACAGACCCTGGGATGGGGACCTGTCCGGGAGAAATTGTGCTGCAGGAACCCCAGAGACTGGAAAGCCCAAGGTCAAGACACTAGCAAATTTGGTTGTCTGTTGATGGCCTACTTCCTGTTTGCTGACAGCTCTTTCTACCTGTTCTTCCCCTGGCAGAGTGCCAAGGCAGCTCCTCAGAGTCCCATTCATAAAGGCACAAATCCCATTCATGAGGGATCTGACTTATAACTTAATCACCTCTAAAAGACTCTTACCTAAATACCGGCATCATTCTGTTTTTTTCAGATGCAGCTGAACAGTATTTTCAAGAGAGTATGGCTCATGTTAAGGATTCTGAAGGAACAGGAAGAGCCAAATTTCTTTCAATTCAAGATGAATTTTGCAACTTTCTGCAAATCACTGGACAAAAAGAAGTATGTGAGTTCAGATCACCCTTGTCAGTCATTCACACAAGAAGCCACTTGATATCCAAAGGCTACTCCTTCACTCTGCAAGCATCTATTAAGCACCTACTATGTATAGGGCACATCCTAGCCTCTAGAGGAATCCAGATAAATGAAGCCAGGAGGCCACTCTTGGGAAGTGTCCAAATACTTCCTCTTAGAAAACTGTGAGAAAATAGATGTTACATCCAAGAGCTCGAAGGACTAAAAGCCTCGAGAGCCCAGTGGACAAAACCCTGTTTGCTGCAGCCCATGGTTCAGGCTGGGATGGAGTGTGGCAGTTAGTGTGGAGAATTCCATTTTCCTTATTTTGGGTAATGAGTTGAATTTGCATATCTAATGGAAACTGCTCAGTACAGAACTTTTGTCTTACTCTCTTTCACCATAGATCTATGCAGGCATGCTTGGCATGGCTTAGAAAATGGACCAAAACCCAGAGTTTATGGTCATCAGTAGTTAAAAACTTGGGAACTTGTTCTTTGCAGAGCATAGCAGCCCCCAGAAAGCTACAATAGATACCTCAGTGGTCTGGTGTGTGTGTGTGTGTGTGTGTGTGTGTGTGTGTTTTCAATCTAGCATGGCAAATCTTGGAGATGATAAAAAGGCTTCTTTTTCACTGTGCTGTCTGTAAATACCTCCCTCCCCCCAGCTCCTTCTTCATCCTTAATCTCACTCTTCTCTCAGCTAAAGAACACAGCTTTCAATCTGTATTCACTCATGTTTCTCAGGCGAGAATAGATCCACAGTCACTATAACAAATCCAGTTTCACTACTTTACTGGATCACCTAGCCAAAGAGAGAGGACCTTTTAGAGGTCCCAGATTCCTACACCAAACTCCATCTCAGTCCTATGGGGACTTCTCAGATGAAAAGAATAGGGGAAATCTACCCCACCATGCCTTGCCTCATGCAGTCCCTCTTTCCACCTCCAGTTTTCTGTATTCTATACATTGTCTTCCATCTCCCCTCCCACCAGGTGTTGTCTTGCCTCTGTCTCACAGCTTCTTCTCCCTCACTTGTCCTTGTCGAATCTATTCATATTAAGGAAGCCAGGGGCCCTGTTCAAAAACATCTGACTAGTGAACATTCATTTGTAAAATATTCCAGTGGTCTACATTCTATTGACATTTCCGGCTCAATTTTGCTCCTCTCCCTAATCTAATTTCCTGTCATACCTTTTCTTTTTAAATGCAAGTGCATGTGTATATTATATATGTGCATCTGTGTGTGCACATATGTGCACACATGTGGTGACCAGAGGGCATATTAGGTGTCACCCTTAGGAAGGCCAAAGCTATCCACCTCCTCTGAGCTTCATTTGCCTGAAGTTCACCACTTAAGCTAGACTGGCTGACTGCCAGCCTCAGGGAGCCTCCGGTCTCTGCCTCCCCAGTGCTAGGATTCTAAGTGCCACCACATCCAACATTGGGGATTGAACTCAGGTCTTCATTTTTGCAAGACAAATACTTTGAACAACTGAGCCATTTCCCTAGCCCATGCTGGCCTTTTCTAATTCCCCCTTCTGGCCAGTCCACCTTTCATTTCCTCTGGAAGACCTTTCCCTATTTATTCCAGACTAGTGTTCCCTGAGTTCCTGACAACTTCTCTGATTCCTCTCCTTAGCCTGCATTGGACTCTTCTGCGATTCTTTTTTATGGACTTCTATTTGATGCAGTAAAACATTTGTAAGTAGATATTTATATGGACATTTAATGTTGCTCAGAAGACTAAGCTGAATTCTGTGAGAGCAAGGACTTTCTTGTTCATGGTAGGGCTGATGGACAGATTGGGAGATGCATGCTTGGTTGTGGGTCAGCTGACTCCTCTGACTACACTTTATATACCCATTCCTGGTTCCCATCAGCCTTCCTGCTATGGTGTAGAGGCAGCTGATGCCCAGTGCCATTTGTGGTGCACCTTATTAACCTTTGCCCGAGTCAAACAAATCAGTAGTCTTGATTGAAAGATGTACCTTGATCTCCCAATCTACCCTTGGAGATTTTAGCAAATTGGTTCTTTCATTCCAGGACCGTTGCCAGTCTTGTGTGTCCTTGTCCTTGTAAGGATAATAAAGCTGCCCCTTTCCTTTGGTGCACATAGCTGTACCAGGGCACATGGCTTGGAGAACACAGCATGGCCTGGGCTTCAGCTCTCCTCCTCTTGCCCAGTCACACATGACAGCCTCATGCTCTCCTTTCCCTTGCTTGTTGACCTCTCACCATGGGGTCAAGCAGGAATGTCCAACAAGAGCTGGTCCCAAGGACAGTAGCAGAGATGAGCATGGGGTTGCACCTAAGCCATCCCAGATGTAATTACAACCTAGACATGGGCTAGCTTGCACAGGTTACCCTTAGGGAGGAAAGATTTTTAGAGTCAAAAGTAAGTAAGGACCACATTGCTGCAGGCCAAGACATTCTAAGAAAATCCCAATTCCTGTCTCTGACAGAAGCTGACCATCCACCAACCTTGTCTCCCTCTTTCCTGCATGCTTTGCTTTGCTCAAATGATTCTACTCACCGGCCCTACACAGGCTGTGTGCTTCTTCTGGGCTCTCAGATACCCATACCCTCGTCTCACCTAAGTCCAAATGATTCTTTCTCCCCATTAAGCTTTTCCTGTCTGTTTCCCATTGTCATCAGAACTTGCCTTTTAATTTCACACACATCAATCTCTAGTTTCCCCAGCCAGACTGAAGCAGCGCTAAAGGCATTGTACAAGACAGGAGTCTCCAGCATTTCCCAGCATCACTACTGGCTCCCCAAAGTCAAATCCCCTGGAAAAGCTACCAAACCCAACACTTGATTAGGCCTAAGTCTTTGCTCACATATGTTGGAAGGGGCTGTGATGAGCTTTTCCTCCAGGAAAGTCTAGGTGGAAATCCTACTCCTCGGACCATACTTCGCGAGTTGCACAGTTGCTCTGCCTAGAGCAATTCCTTTTTCCATCCAAGAAATTGATTCCAGACTCATCAGCAGTTCATATTAGTGCAGTCAAAAGGACTAACATTCTTCCCATCCCTTTCTGTCTGTAGCACAGGATCTGTATGCGCCCTTGGGGCTGTGCTATGGGAAGCCCTTTCAGTGGTCCCTGCTTTATTTAGCTGTTGGAATCAGCATTTGTGTTATGCAGTCATAATTGCACTTTCAAGTGGAAGATCCTGGAGGAATTCCCGGAAAACCTGTAGGAAGCTGACATGCTTTAACAGGGCTTCCTCCTTGTATGTATTGGTGTCTGCAAACATTAATACCAGGAATACTGTTTTCTGACCAACTCATATATTTATTGCAAGTTGGTATAAATAAATTGGACAAAGCAAAGCAAACAAAATGTGAGATCATGTTGGAATGTTTACTTTTGGTTTCCTAACTATTTTCTGTGAGGATAGAAAGCCCTGAAGCATGACTCAGAAGCTCAGTTGAGTTTTCTCTTATGTAAGAATATCAGTGCGCAGAGGGGAAGCGCATGGATCTAAAAAGAGTTACAGTTTCTGGACAGACACAGATCTGCCTTGATGAGCTGTGTGAGACTGAGCACATTTCGTGATTGCCACTCTGTGCCTCGGTCACCTTCTGGGTCAAATGGGGATGGAAATTACATAAGACAGTGGGACTGGAGAGATGGCTCAGCACTTAAGAGCACTAGCTGCTCTTGCAGAGAATCCAGGTTCAATTCCCAGCACCCACATGGCAGCTCACAACCATCTGTAACTCCAGTTCCAGGGGATCTGACACTGTCTTCTGTTCTCCAAAGGCACTGCACATGTGTGGTGCACTTACCTACATGCAGGCAAAACACTCATACATATAAAATTAAAAAAAAATTTTTTTAAAGAAGACAGAATTAAATCAGACATATGCACTGTGACTTTCTGACACAGAAGGATTCCATACATGCTGGCTTTTGCTCTGGCTGCTCAATGGAAATGGATTCTGGCAGTAGCTAAAGTGTTTTCTTAGGCCAGTGTTCTTTCTCTGCTCATACTTTGTACTATCCCCCTTCAAATACATTGTTTCCTGCCTCCTATTTGACTACAGAATAGTGCCCCAGCTCATGAGTCCACCCAACCCTTTCCTCTAAAGCGTGAAAATGTACTCCAGTTCCATAATTTTCTTAGAGGAAATATTTTCAGATTGTAACAAGCCTCTGAACTTTTTTAACCACACATCATTTTGTCCTTTTCTCAGCGAGCAACCAGGATCCTGAGAGAGTCCCTGGAAGCCAAAGTAGGAGCATTCGGTGATTTCAGTCCTGAGGTGGCAGAGACATACCGGGTCCTGGGCGAGGCAGACATGGCACAGGGAAACCACAGCAGGGCGTACAAGAAACTAAAGAAGGTAAAGTGGGAGCCGGCACTGACCCAAAGGCAGACTGTCCCTTGCTCTCGCTCTCTGGATAAGTTCTCTCCCTCCACCATACTCCTTTTATAATGGCTTACTTAGGTAAGATGTTACTTTTGCAGTAGAATTAAGCTAACATTTGGGGGGGTAAAAGATTTCATCTTAGGTATAGTCATTATCAATTGTTTTTTATCATTCAAATATTTGAAAATTTTACATGATGTAATTTATCAAGCTTTTCTTGTTATTGTGCTGTTTCTGTATACCCAGTTTATAGAAGAATTCTTTTGTGCTATGCTTTCTTCTGTTCTTTTTATCTTACAATTTTTTTTAATGTGGATAGTATAAGGTATAACTCTCATGCTATATTTTTTCCAAATACCTGCCACAGCAGAAATCCACAGAATACTGGCTTACCCAACAGCATTTCATTGAAGAGCCCATCTATTCTGCAGATTCATATGTAATGTAACACCTTCACTGTATATGAAATTCCCATGTGCACTTGTTTGTTTCTAGATTTCTGCTCTATTCTGTTAATCTGTAATCTATTTATATGCCAGTAGCTCACATTTTCAGTTACATAGATTTATGGAATGATTTAATGTGAGGTATTATAGACAGTCATCATACCTTTTTTTCCTCATAAAACATCAGGGTTTCTAGATATTTGAATGTTTATTTTTCTACATGATTTTTATAGCAGCTTTGTAGCTCCATAAAGATTTTATTAAAGGACTTATAAAGGAATTTGGGGAAAGCCGACATTCTAATGATATTGAGGCATTCTACCGAAGAACAAGCAATTGACACCATTCCATTTGCTCACATCTGCTTTTATCTCTCTCGTGCACATTTAAGCATTCTCCACATACATTTTGTGTTTTTCTTAAGTTTATGTCCACACATTTTCATTATTGCTATTGTAAGTGGAGATTTAGTCATCATTACATATTTTTGCTTATTTTGTGTATCCAAGAGTTATTGGGTTTTGTATGTTAATTTTATACTCTTCTAGCTTGCTCAGTTCTTTTATTGCTTCAGTTAATTTGAACATTGATTATCTCAATTTTTTTAGATATACTATCTTCTGCAAATAGACATCATTTTACTTGATGTCTTCCAATTCTATGGCTCTAACTGGTTCCCTTGGTCTAATTGCATTGGCTCGTATGTTCATCACAATAATGAATAGTTGTGGAAATAATGGGTACCCTTGCCTTGTTCCTAATCTTACTAGACATACTTCTAGTGGTTCTTCATTTAAGAGATGCTGGCTTTAAAACTAAGGTCTATGTATTTTATCATGTAAAGGACATATTCATCAATTTCTAGTTTCATGAGTCTTTTTAAACTTGGAAATAAATGTCAAATTTCATCAAAGGTGTTTTTCAGCATTAGCAGAAATTACCAGATGATTCTTCTTAGATTCATTTTATATGGTACATTTTATTATAATATTGAACCATCCTGGTATTCCTGGAATAAATCCTAACCCTTAAACTTGTTGAATTATTTCCCTAACATGATGCTGAGTCCCTTTTGTACTATTATAACATACTGTCAGAGACTGAGGATTTGTGAAGAATAGAAATTTAGGGACTAAAGAGATGGCTCAGCGGTTAAGAGCACTGGCTGCTCTTGCAGAGGACCTGGGTTTGGTTCCCAATACCCATAAGGCAGGTAACAACAGTCTGTAACTCCAGTTACAGGGGGATCTGGTGCCCTCTTTTGGCCTCTTCAGGCATTGCATACATGTGGTGCACTCACATACATGCAGGCAAAACACTCATACACATAAAAATAAATTAATTAAAGCTGGGTGTGGTGGTGCACACCTGTAGTCCCAGCACTTGGGAGGCAGAGACAGGCGGATCTCTGTGAGTTCAAGGCCAGCCTGGTCTACATAGTGAGTTCCAGGACAGCTGGGGCTACAGGGAGACCCTGTCTCAAAAAGACAAAAAAAAAAAAATTAATTAAGAAAGAAAAAAGAGAAATTTATTTCTCACAGTTCTAGAGACTGAGAAGTCCAAAGTCAAGGAGCTGGCAACTGATGAGGGAGGGTCTTCTTCCTTAGTTTACTCAAAGGCAAAAGACAGAAGAGCAAGAGAGGAAGAGGGAGAAAGAGGAAAGGGGGCTAAACTCAGTCTTTTACAATGAACATACTTCAAAAAACAGCATTAATCCATTTATGAAGGCAGAGCCTTATTAAGGCCCACTTCCCAACCCTGTTGCATTAGGAATTAAGTTTCCAAATACTTGCTTCTGTGGACACTCTCAAATCATAGCAGATGTTGAATCTGCTTTCTAATATTTATTTTAAGGTTTTTGCATCAATATTTTATTTGATATTTAGTATCAGTGTTATATTTGCTTCAGAAAAATAATTAGGAAGTTTACCTCTGTTTTTTTCATGTACCAAAATACATGGTATTTTAAGATGTATGCCTCCTGAGAAACCTTTTACTCTGGTGCTTTTATTGCAAGGAAGCACCTTTAGATTTTTCTCTATTTATTCTGCAAAAAGTAGTCCATTAAATCTTTCCATCATTAATGGAATCATTTTAGTAAATCACATTTTTTCTAGATAATTGTCTATGTCATTTACATTTTTATTTATTTGCATAAAACTTGCAAAGTAATCTCAATTACTTTAAATTTTTTCCAATTTTAACAGTCGTTTCTTATTTCATATTTGGGTTTTCTCCCTCTTTCTTTGACTGAGTTTACCAATGGTTTGTCTGTTCCATTACTGAAAAACAAACACAACAGGATCTTAATCCCATGGATCTGTTGCCATTCTGGGCTCGATTTCAGTAGTTTGTGGTTGTGTCTTTATTAGTGCTATCCTTGTGCTCTACTTTGTTGAAATGGCTTTCTACCTTTGTTAATTTGGAACTTTATTTTTTTCATTTTTGATGTTCTAAGTATTTATGGCTTTAAATATACTTAAGTTTTGTCATGTTTATATTTTCATTATATCAATTAGTTTTAAAATTAGGAAATCCTGGTAATCTCTGAGTAATATAAGTGACCAAATCCAAAGAATTGGGTTCTGGGTGGGTTGCCTTGTAAATCAAGTCTTTTCTTCTTCTTCTTCTATGAATTCTGATTCTGCTAAAAAAGGAAGTAGTTTGGGTGACATTTGTAGTGCCAATTTTAAATGAGATGGCACAGGCATATTATCGGTTAGGGGAAACTAGGGACCAAGGCAAGTGTGTTTCTGTATTTGTGTGTTTCCAGTTTCACTAGAAAGGCATTTGCCAAACCAATGATTTCCAATAACTTAATCATTCCTCATGTGCCAAAGACATTATAGTCAGGAGAGAAGCGAGAAAGGACACAGAGGGTGGCATTTTCCGTGTCTCCCCTTCCCCTGCTTCCACGTAGTAATAGTGTCCACTTTTGGAGTAACTGTTTTACCACTAATCCTGTTAAGAGATTTACATATGCTAACTCAGTTAAACCCTTCAACAACCCTCAGAGTTGGGTACCTCCACTCTTCCTATTTCACAGAGAGGGAAACTGAGGCTGAGGTAAGTGTCTTGGCCTTAGTCACATCATTAAGAGTTTTCAGAGTAGAGACTGAGTTCTAGGCAGTCTGTTCTATGTAGTCCATACTCACAACTATTTTATCCAGCAAGCTTTACATGTAAGATTTTCTTTTAGAACATGAAATATGTAGGTTTCAAGAGGGTTTAGTAGCCAGTGGTGTGGTAAAGAGAATGCCAAGCGCAGTGCAGTGGGTACAGTTGCCGCTGATGGAACACAACTGAAAGCAGCTCAAATATGAAGGAGTCCATATTGTCCTGTGGTTTCCAAAGAAAAGTGGCACATCCAGAGGACCACAGCAAGGATATGGTGAGCCTCAGGGAGATCTGCCAAGATGATCTCTTTCCAGGGACTCCTCCATGCCTCTCTCCACACATCTTCCTTTACCCCCATCTTGGGAGGCTCTTCCATTTAGACGGAGAACATAACTGCAATATCTCTGTCTCAGCTGGAAAGACCTCAGGGGAAGATTTCTAGGTCTGTATATAATCTATTTCCTGCCCCAGTCAGCAAAGCCAGGAGAATGGTAGGCTATGAGAAAAGGGTGTTCCAAAGTTAGTGGGATGCCCACATGGAGACGGCACAAGAAACAACCCTACAGTGCAAGTATGGGAACAGGCTGAGCAGAGCCCCTCCTTGCTTTTGGAGCACACACAGTGAATACATTAGGAACAAAGCAGCCCCTTCCCAAGCCCCATATTATAGAGCACACAGTTCTTTACTACAAACCCAGACCAGGAAAAGTTTTTTTTTTTTTTTTTGGAGGGGAGGCAGTTTAGAAAGAGTAACCGGGTAAGTGGTCCTGAGAAAGAGGCTGAACTCTCAGTATTAAGAATTCCCTGCTTAGGAAATGGGATGGAAGAAGGATGCTCCAGGGTAAGAGAAAGAAGTATAATAATGGAATGAATGCACTCAGGACTGATGATCTATGGAGAGGCAGCAGAGAAAGCATGGCCAAGACCCTGAAGACTAACACAGATGTGCATGGAAACTGAGCAGGGCCACATAGACCTTCATACTGGCCCTGTTGGCTCCCTGGGGAACAGGGCAGAGTCTTTGCATTCCACCACAGGTTTGGGGACAATTTGTTGCTGTCACATGTGGCTGGTATATCATTTCTCATCTTCTAGAAGCCTTGCAGTTCATGGTCTACAGAGAAGGGGTCTGGACTCTGGCACATTAAGGCAGTTGTGTCAGAGCAGGCTGCTCTGAAGCAAAGCTCAGCTCTTTCCTGTGTACCCATGGTTGGATGAGTGCAGGTCTTGATGCTTCTGCATCTGGTCACCTCCCTTAGATCTTTGGAGTTGAACAAGGGCTAAGAGATCTGCCTGTTTGTCAGCTTCCTCAGGAGAATGACAGTCGCAGCTCTAGCACACATTGCCCCCCAACTTGGGGCTAAAATCAGCTCATCTTCCAGAAAGTTTCAGGTCAGGTCACATCACCCC